GTATTCATTTGTATTCATTGCATGGAGCAGTATTTACTGTGAAAGCAACATCAACCTGAAGAAATGAACAAGAGAAGTGTATTATTTGTAAGTTGTTCTTGGTGATGAAATTTAATTTTAGTAAAACAGGAACACAGAATGGCATTACAAAACCTTTCAACAAATCAGGCTACCACTTTCCTTGAAAGCTCATGTGATCATTGTGTTCATGCCACATACTCAAAAATGACATATGTTTTAGAGGAAGTTACAGCAATTAATTGATAACATATTTTATATGACAAGCCACTTGTATGAATTACAGTGTCATACTAAATTATAAAACTCACCACATGTTACTCAGTAATCTACGCTTTCAGGATCTCAACTGAATTAAGCAAAGTGAGGAATGAATGAATTGTAGTCTTCATTTCTGAGTGTGGTTGGAGGTATCCTGTCATCAGCAGTCCGAAAGAGAAGAATTCCATCTCTGCAATTATAAGCGTAATTGCTGGATCTTCTGCTGTCTTTGGAATCAGTCAGAATTCCTCAGGGGCTATGGTGAGGGGACTACTGAGGATGAAACTGAAAGAAGGGTAATCTGACCATCGAGAAAATGAACTGGACAAGCTAGCAGACAAGGCAGACCAGTAAGTACTTTCTTCAAGGGAGCTGAGAGCTTGACTGGAACTCATTTGCAGGCAGTGCCATGACCAGTGGCGGTTGGAACTCTGCTCTGACAGTAAACGACAGGGTGACTGGGGATACCCCACCATTGATGGTCCTGGAAGGAGGCTTCTCCCCTGCATTGTTTGTGTTATCTACTGCTGAGGAGAAACGGTTAAAACCCATTTCTCTGATGAAAGATGCACTGAAGCTGAGAATGAAACTGGTCTCTTGATGGAGGACGGCAACCTGACCATCAAGAAGAAAATTCAGACAGACTATCAGAAGAAGTGAGCTGGAGAGGAGGTTGCTCTTCCGAAGGAAAGTGAGGGCTCTGTTAGTGGTCTATTGTTGCTGCAGCTTGACCATGGTGGGAGCTCTGCTGGCCTTGGCAGTATCAACAGACAACAGCTAAAGACACCCTGCCATTAGTAGTCTGGAGGATGTTCACTCCTTGCATTGAAGGGCTCTGATTCTGTGTCTTCTGCTGCTGCAGACAAGTAGCCAAAATTTCTCAGTCTCTAGTGAGAGCCGATGAGAATAAGAACAGAAAATGTTTCTTGATGGGGGCTAGTAACCTATTAAGAACTGGACTGGCTAGCGAGAAGCAAGCAAGGAAAAGAGTCACTCTTCACAGAAGCTTGAGGTCTTGGCTGGAAGTTGGTTGTGGGGCCAGCTGGCATCAGTGGCAGGGGCTCTGCTGTCCCTGGTGTTCCCAACAAATGGTGGCTGCAGATGCCTCACCATTAGTACTTCAAGAGTACACTCCTGTATCAGAGAGCTCAGTTACTGGGTCTTCTGCTGCTGAGAAGCAGCTTCTAAATATTCTCAGGGGCACTGGTGAAGGTCCACCAGGAGTGAGGCTGAAACAGGTCTCTTGATGGGGTCTGGCAGCCTGACCATCAAGAAGATGGAACAGATTGGCCAGCAGAAGTAGCAGTCCAGGAAGACGAAGACTCTTCTCAAGGAAACTGAGGGCTCAGCCAGAAGTTTCACTGCAGGCCCAGCTGAGACCAGTGGTGGGTCCTCTGCTGTCCCCTTGGGTGAATGACTTAGGGTGACAGGGGTACCCCACTATCAGTGATCAAGAGAAGCATACACTTTGTCCATGCCCAGTTCTGAAAGGGCATAAACAAAAGTTTTTCACTCTGGATTGTTAGAGCCCATGGATAGTAGCAGAACTTGAGCTTTGCCATTATGGTTAAGGCTCCTTGAAGGGCCTGAACAAGAGTAAGAGAAGCACAATGGACCCAGTAGTGGTCTGAGTGCTTGAAAGAATGCCTGGAATTTGACCCCCCCCCCAAAAAAAGAAGAAGAAGAAGAAGAAGAAGCCAATATGATCTTCATTTTCTATAAGTTTGCCTTACTTAACTGAGACAAATTTCAGGGGCAGGACAGTACAAAGGGTAAAATGCATCCCTTTCTTTCTATTTCTCTTTATGGCTTTTCTTGTCTTGTTGTGACCCTCACCTTCACATTGTGTACCCTGTCTCCTGTTTTGACACTGCTGACCTAATTAGGATGGTGTAACCACTACATCTGGTGTAGAGGAAAATTTACGTACTACTGGAAATTAATCCTTTCATCAGCAGCATCAGTTATAACCAGCAGAAGTGAGACAACCTTTCAGTGCCAGTCTTGATTATAGGCAACATGGCACAACAGTCTGTTCTGGATGGAACTGCCCTCTACTGGAATCGGTCAGAACAGAGAACTGAAATGTAAGAGAGAGATGAATACAGGAATCTCACAGGGCCTTCAAGGATTCACCTGTGTGCACAAAGATTGACACTGTTCCCACCTTTTTTATTTTTCAGTCTGCAGTTGTATGAAATGACAGTGAAACATTTCTGTGACTCAAACTAAGTCATGAATTCATCCTCTACATGACCACAGAAAGAAAGTGTAACAGATGATAAAGGTATTTGGAAAGGCAAGGCATGAATTTTTGCCATGTTTCAGGAACAGAAATTGTTGTAAAAATTGTTATAGGAAATATGAATATTTCAAGGAATTTTATTTCAGACTGGATTATGTAACTGTTGATACGTGGAGACTTTCAGTGCCCATGCTAAACATTGCTGTGAAGAAGCACGAAGAAAGTTAAAAAGGTCATGTCCAGCATCGACCTTTCTCGAAGCAGCAGAAATCACTGAAACATTTGCCACTGGAGAAACTAGAATCTGCATTTGCTGCATGGTTCAAGCAAGCACATGAGAGTAATGCTTCCATAGATAGAACCTCCCTCCGAAGGAGAAGGCATGGCATACTGCTTCTCGTCTGGGAGTAGCCAACTTTTCGGCTTCCAATGGATGGATTGTCAGATTTAAGAGGAGACATAACACTGTTTACAGAGCTGTATCATGTGAGAGCAGGTGTGTATACCCAGAAATGGCAGAAGACTGGAACAGTTATTGACTATTGCAAAAACTGAAGGTTATGAACTCTGTAATATACATATTACAGGTCTACTTTTCATTTTCCAACCTAGCCAAACCTTCACTTTTCAAGGAGATTTTTGCTGTGGTGGTATAAAATCCAAACAGCAGGTTATCGAACTGCTGATGGTAGTTATAAATTGTCACCTCTTGTAACTGGAGAATATAAAAGTTCACATTGTTCAAGGATGTCAAGAGACTGCATACAAAATATGAAGCTAATACAAATTCTTAGGTAACTACCAAAATTACCTCACAGTTAAATAGAAAACTGGGTGCTAAAATCGCAAAATCCTACTTCCCATTGATCATTGTGCTATGCACCCAGTTTCTCAGCAACATCAAAGTGATATTTCTTCCAGCCTGTCACAGCCTTTAGATTTGGGAATCATCCATGACAGATGAGGGACTGCTCCAAGATGTTACACAGATGAAGCTGGATGTGCTGTCTGCAATGCACTTCACACCAGAAGCCTGGAGATTGGTAACACGCACTACAATAAAGAACTCCTTTGTGAAGTGTGGTTTCTCAATTGATCATGTCAGCAGTAATGATAACAGTGTGGATGAAGATGACTGGCACAGTTCACAACCTCCTGGAGTGCGGTTTGAGGACTACAGGACATATGACACTGCTCTTAAGGTTTGTGTAACCCAGAGCAGTGGTCCTCAACCTCTGTCAGACTGTGACCCTGTAAATTCTTTTCTCTATGAGTGCCTGGTATGCCGTGGCCCAATAGTTGAGAAACACTGACCTAGAGTAGCGACCAGGTGTGGGATCAATATTTGACTAGGCCAGAAGAAAAAAGAGAACTTCCAAAACATGAAGCAACATTCTTGGATGCACTGAAAGTACTGGAAGCAGTCAGAAAGTACACGTCAATTGGCTGCCAAGAACAATATTATTTTAATGTGCAACAAAGTTGAGAATGAATCATACAGACTGAGAGCTCAAGAAAAAAAGAAACAAAAGACTCTTACTGAATGGTTAGGGATATAATTTTAACTAGGCATGTACCATAATTACCAGTCTATCTGGCTGTCAATGCTGAAACAATACCTTGAAATAAACTATGACCACTGTCTTCCTCATCCCTTCCATTAATAGTAATCATCTCATTTTAGCCACATAAAAACAGCAGTTGATAAAGAACCATAAAAGAAACCAAGAACCATATTTGCATCTCCATATACAAAGTTAAGTGTTCAAACATGTATTTTTTTAAATCTTCAAAAGTTACGGTATAAAGAAACCCCAATTTTCTTTATGTTATATCATTCTCAGTCCCCAGACTTTACACTTCCCTCGATTTTACACTTATTTTAGGCGGTCCCTTAAAAAGTAGAAAATTTAGGTTTCATTGTCAATTGATTTCGACATTGCACAGAATGGAAATAATGAACTCAAGGACACAAACATAAACTGCTGAAAAGTTACAGCTTGTCTATGCATGAAATATAAATAGCAAAACAGATGCTTAATTGAAACAGTCACCACCATGAGAACGGGGGCACATGGTAGTGTAGTTGGTTGAGGCACTATGCTACAAGCCGGAAGGTTGTGGGATCGAATCCCAATGAGGTGGATTTTTTCAATTTACCTAATCCTTCCAGCCGCATTATGTCCCTGGGGTTGACTCAGCCTCTAACAGAAATGAGTACCAGGAATATTCTTGGGGGTAAAGAGCAGCCGGTGCATAAGGCTGGCAACCTTACTGCTATCTATGAGCTGATTGTCTAGAAAATATGGGAACCTCAACATCTCACAACCCTATGGGCCTCCACGGCCTGTTACAGGGATACCTTTACTTTTACTTCCGTTTTTTTACCACCATGAGAACTTGAAGACATATAAATATTTAATTTCAGAATTGAATATGTTAAATACAGGAAGGAAAATAAGGTGTGACAAATCAGTTTGACATTACATTCCTTCTGAGTTTTAATGTTACAATACTTGTGGTACAAGAAAGAAATAGGTAACTCTTTCAGAGTTATCTGACAAGACATCCTTTGTAGCAAACATAGAAGTCAGCAACAACATTAATATCACAGCACAGTTTCTAATTAACTTAAGCAATCTTAAAAATGTCTTCACATCGACTTATACCCATAATCATTCTGGTAACAAAGTTTTTGATACTGACCCGGTCATAAATGAAATGCAGTATTTGGCAATAAAAATATACAAGGATTTATTTACTTTTATGAAAATGAAACGATGGGGAGAAGGCTAGACAAAACAAACAACGACCACACAAAGTAATTCGGAAGATATGTATCAGCGTCACATACTGAACAGGTGGTAGAAATTTGAACTTTGGGTTGGAAGGTATAAACACCCCTCTGACTTGGCACAAATTTTGAAGCTAATCTTCTCTCACTTGAGATCAACCAGAACACACCTCAGAATGCTCATCCCACGCTGACACCTACAGGACAAAGGGAAACAGTGGATTAGATAGTTTTCAGACTATTCATTAATACTCTACTTGAATTAGTGTCAAAATAACCAGGAGCACTGCTGTGATTCTGCTTCCTAATTTCAGTAGCTTTGTGCTTATACTCAAAGCAAGATTCCTTTCTTTCTTGAAAAAAATACCTGGAACTCTATGTATCAGATTTTAATTGCTAGAGGCAATAAACACGTGTCTTTGTTTGGTACTTAAGCCCATTGTTGTGGTAACATTTTGCCCCTAGCTTGTACGTCATCCAGAAAACAACACGAGAACACCCAGGCCACTACAGTATCAAAATTCAAAGAGAGGGATATCAAACTATATTGTTGGACAAGCGGAAGATACCCCTATGTTAACTAAGTATCGATTATAACATCCAATATTTCAGATCATGAAATATCTCAGTTATATGTGATGAAAAAGTGGACAATATTATATTTAAGCATCCTGTTGCACTCCATATGATAAATGATATAATGATACAAATTCCATCTCAAGTGCAAACAATATATTTTGTGTCTTTGATCTTGTTCCCCTACACTACATGTTTCGGCCTCAGACGGCCATCATCAGGTGTATAACACTCACGTCGCTGTCACACTGCACCCAGCTCAAAATTTAACATTTACAAACATTTTCCTTGTTATTATCAACTTCTACTTCGTTGATAACTGTCTGGTTTGTAGCTTATTTTATTTTACACACGTTAATTTTGACTTTGTTGTAATAACACTATAATAAAATCTTTAGTTCTAATTTTAAAAACCTTTAAAATTCGTTCCTAAATTTTAAAATTTTAAAATTGTTAGGGTTATTCGCCCTATGTTTAAAGTGCTGCAGCGGCTAGTTCTTGTTACCACACTGTATAGGTGTTATCTTGTGTGGTCTTTCTGTGTGCGTGCCGCTGCTATTCTTTACTACGTGTTTTTAAATGTTAAATTTTGAGCTGGGTGTAGTGTGACAGCGACGTGAGTGTTATACACCTGATGATGGCCGTCTAAGGCCGAAACATGTAGTGCAGGGGCACAAGATCAAAGACACAAAATATATTGTTTGCACTTGAGACGGAATTTGTATCATTATATCATTTATCGAAAAAGTGGACATTCTATACAGTGAACAGTTTTGGCATAGCTGAGACACCTGATGATGGCCATTTGGGGCCGAAACATGTTGTGCTAAGGAGTGATAGAAATAGTTGCATTATTGATGGAATTATATTTTGTATGAAAGATATATTAATGCAACAGGATGATAGATACAATATTGAGTAAATGTGAAATAAAACAGTCATGTAAGATTTGAGGCTTTCACGGCGGTGACTATGAAGAAAGCAGTCTTCTGGGATTTGGCACCGTGTATATGTGGTGTTAACCGACGTTTCGGAGGAACGTATCGCCTCCATCTTCAGGGTAGAAGGAAAAATATAAGAAATACGCAAGCGAAGAGACCGTGAGAACCGGTAAAAGCAATCTGCTTCTTATATTTTTCCTTCTACCCTGAAGATGGAGGCGATACGTTCCTCCGAAACGTCGGTTAACACCACATATACACGGTGCAAAATCCCAGAAGACTGCTTTCTTCATAAAACAGTCATGAGTGTAACAGCAGTCACAGAAACCATGACTGCATATTACTTATAGCGAACTCTCTCATGGTGTTAATACCAGACAGAGCCCATCATTGGGCACAGTCATGAACCAGTTCCATCTACCTCCTATAGGGATACAAAACGCTGGACCTGAAGAGAGAATACAGGAACACTTTACAAAATTTTGGTATACAGTCATGGGCAGAAATGCTTGGCAAACTGTGAGACAGATGAAACAAACATATGTATTAAACTACTCATAAGGAGATACATATTGTTAATGTTTTATGATTATACATATACTGGGGGAAGTTTTTCAGTTAATGGAACTGAGGAGTTAGGTTACAGTACAAGTGAGTTAGTAACTACTACCTTCAACAATGGAGGCAAGCAGTAGCGTAGTTGGTTGAGGCACTATGCTACAAGCCGGAAGGTCGTGGGATCGAATCTAAACGAGGTGACTGGATTTTCAATTGACCTAATCCTTCCAGCCACACTATGACCTTGGGGTCCACTCAGCTTCTAACAGAAATGAGTACCAGGAATTCCCTGGGGTGAGGGGGGTGAAAAGGCAGCCAGTGTGTAAGGCTGACAACCTTACTGCCATCTATGAGCCGACTGTCTAGAAGATGTGGGAGCCTCAATCCCTCACACCACTATGGGCTTTCATGGCCTATTACAGGGACACCTTTACCTTTGCCTTTACCTTTACCTTCACCAACAGGCAGTTCCACAAGGGGCAATACCCACCTGACAGTCACGGCTGCAGTACCACTGATTCCCACATCCAGCACACACAAACTGAGCAGCTCTCTGATGGCAGCCCTGACATTCTGGTACATCTTCAGCTGCCATTTCTGGACCTTGATCGTCCTCATTCTCTCCTTGACTTCTCCTACCATCACCATCTCCAGACTCGTCAATCACCAAGCGGTCTGCGCTGTCCTCCTGCTCTTCCTCCTGAAATATCAACATTAAGATATCAGATTCTCACAGAGCAATATGCAGCTAATCATAGCTGTACAAAACAGGCAACTTCTGGTGAATTTATAATTCCACAAACTATGTTGTCTTTTGAACTATTAACATGGACCATTATAAAGAGAAACAGAAGCAAAACCCAACCAATGGACATGAAATGTTCTAGAAGTAACTAAGGAAAAACAAGAAAGAACTGAATTAGAAATTAAACTGGAATGAAGATTACTTATAATAGATTAGAATTTCATATGTAAAACCAAACATGAACCTGGGAAATTTATTATAATGTTCAAGTGTCCTGAATCAAACTTCAAAGCAATGCCATTACAAAGCACAGCAACACAATATACATGCACTATCCACATATCCACAATCTAACAGCCTCAACGTGTAAGATGTGTGTCCAGCATTAAGCACTTGCCTTTTCACATGCTATTAGCTTCAGAGAGAACAAAACATATATCCTTACCACTAGCACTACTTCTTCTTTGGCTTTAACTGGCTGAGCAGCCACAGGTGTAATGGTGATCTCATTTCTTGTCTGGAAAGAAAAATGCATAAGAAATGAGGTTGCCACTCATGTATATACATGCAGTGTAGTGTATTTCCTATAGCCCTATTAATATCAGTGCCATTGGGATATCTTCTGGGGGGGGGCAGGAAATCTGCTTGCGAACTTACCATTAACCTCTTCAAAACTAGTCCTACTGATCAACTTGAAATGTACTGGATAGAAGAATACTTTTCCGTATAATTTCAATTTTGGTATTATCTTTTGGTATATTTTGTTATTTTTCAAGTTTTTATATATATATTTTTAGGGGTCCAGAAGCGGCCTCTGTAGTCTAGAGGTAACGTTCCCACCTCATGACTCGTAGTACGCGGGTTCAAACCCGGCGGAGGTCATGGAATTTTTAAGGGCAAAAAAATTCAGGGAACAAGTCCTCCGGGAGGGACTTTAAGCCGTGGGTCCCTTGTCATAGCTTTACGGCACATAAAAGAACCTCATATCTCCTAAGGAGGTCACTGAGCCAAATTCAAGGATATTTCCCGCCCAACAGTAATCTCTAACGCCTCTGATAGATGGGGGAAGCATTACAGATACTGCCAAGCCAGTAGAGGCCGAACTCGCTGGCTTGGTCGGGACTGATGGTAAGCACCAGTATTGGTAGGGTATAGAGACTGGTAGAATATCATAGAGGGAAGCACAATAGATCAAACTGGTCGCGGTGCATGGGGAAACCCACCCTCTCTAAATAACTAACTAGGAGTCCAGAGGTGCCATGGCCTGCCCCCCTCCCAGTGGCACCCATGCCCATTATGTATAATATGCAACTGTGAATTATGGGAAAACATTAAGATAGTGAGTGGACAGTCATGGTGGTATTTTACAACATGTCAAATACAGTCAGTATCTTTTATACATTACTTGTTTTTACTTTATAACTATAGCAAATTTCACATGCTTAACTGCAGCTGTTTGCAAGTTATAATCAAGTTAAAATGCCTATAACACGACCTAACTTGAAAAAATTAAATTACATTACATATTTAATTTTTGATGCATTTTAAAACAATGCGTAATGAGCCACTAGGTTTGTTGTGAATGGAATGGAATTCAGCAGTTAATCCTTGTTAATGTGTGTGCATGAAGTTCATTTCATATTAGACACAAGAGATGTCAGTTATAAGAACATAAAGTGGACTAAAATGAGCCAGTATGAAGTTCACTGTTACACAGTTCAGCAGTGATGCAAAAGAACAAACTTGTCTAACAATCCAAACAAGATGGTAATTATACCCTTTACTAGGAGGAGGGATATCAAGGGGCTTAAGGAACTGATCCTCTTCAGTCAAGTGATTCAGCTATGCAGTGAAGTCAAGTACCTTTGAATAACATTAGACAAGGGACTGACATGGAAGAAACAGTTGGACAAGGCTATTAACGAGGCCTGTAAGGCCTTCTGGATATGCAGAGGCACATTTGGAAAACCCTGGGGGCTGAAAGCAAAGGTGGTGTACTGGATATACACTGCTGCAGTAAGACCCATAATTCCCTATGCTGCCACTATATGGTGGCCTAGAGTTCAACTTAAAACAAGTCAGGCAGAACTAAGCGCAGTGCAAAGGACAGCCTGCTTGGGAATTACGGGAGCAATGAGAACAGCTCAAACAGCTGCAATGGAAATCCTACTAGGACTCCCCCCACTGCATCTGCAGATGGAAGCAGAGGCCAAGTTAGGAAATTACAAATTGCATTGCAATGATCAATGGAGACCTAAACCCAAAGGTTTAGGACATGCATACATGATTCAGGACATGAAAAAAGAACCCATCCTACAGATGGGATGTGATAAAATGATACCGAAACATGTTTATGATAAACCCTTCAGGATCATATTTCCTGATAGAAATGAATGGAAAGAGGGGTTTCAACCCAATAGAAAGGGGGGACTAATCTGGTATACAGATGGTTCCAAGACAAATATAAGCACTGGACCTGGGTTGTATTGTGATGGAACAGGGCAGAAACGTAGTTTCAGCCTTGGTCAGTATACAAAACAGTATTCCAGGCAGAAGTGTGCGCCATTAAGGCATGCGCCATTCAGAATTTAGATAGAAAATATAAAAATAGGAATATGTGTATTCTATCAGATAGTCAAGCTGCAATTAAAGCCTTTGGTGCACACCAAATCATTTCAAAACTGGTCTGGGACTGCCACCAATCCCTCACACAACTGGCCAGACATAACAAAAAAACAGAGTTCAACTGATATGGGTGCCAGGCCATGAGGGTATTGCTGGGAATGAAACCCCAGATCAGCTGGCAAGAATAGGATCTGAACATCTGAATCAGCTTGTGGCATCTCAGTAGGAGAGTACTGCTGGGAACAGCTACGAACAGCCATTCGTAGGCCCTGAACCAGATTGCGGCATCTCGGTAGGAGTTGCCAAGATAGTGATCAGGGACTGGACTAACAGAAATCATAAAAAAAACACTGGGAATCCAAGACTGGACTCAAACAGGCAAAAGGATTTATATCAGGACCCTCTGCCAAAAGAATTGAGGGGCCTATGAAAATTAAACAGAGGTCAGTTAAGATGGGCGGTAGGATTACTTACTGGACACTGCCACCTAAAAGAGCACCTTTTCAAACTGGGACTGACAAACAACCCAACCTGTGAAAGGTGCCTACAAGAAGACGAATCAGCCACACACATCTTATGTGATTGCGAGGCTATAGCTTACTTAAGATTCCGCCACCTGGGTCACTTCTTCATGGAACCAAGTGACTTTTATGATGCCCCCATAAATAAAGTCCTACACTGCATTTGAAATGTAGGATTAATAAAGGGTTAATCCAAAAGGGAAGCACACTAGATCATTAAAGGTCACGGTGCAAGGGCCGAATTTATGGCCCACCCCTCATGCTCATACTCAAGTTCACAAGTTCACTGTTAACCATTCCCACGGAGACCATTTCATTCTTCTGCCACAAATTTGGGCTGAGTAATCATCAAATCTAAATGTTTTTATATAGTCTGATGAATACTGATTACATTTAAAAATGCTCCAAATTAAAATAGCCTTTAATGAGATGTCCATTTTACTTTGTGTATGATTTATTCATACATTTTTGAGAAATAACAATCGTTAAACAGTGAACAGGTATAAAAATCCCAAGAAAATATGTTACTGCATCACTGTTTATTCACAACATAAAAACAATTTTATCACTGGTATACACATACCTCCAACAAATTATTACCACAATGGAAAATAAATGTCAGTGCATTTAATTTTCTATATCCCATACCATAAATATGTTGCCAGTTCTATAATACAACAAATCCAGAAACTGCCCTGAACCCTGCGCTCTGACATCATGTTAAATACCGGGTAAATTGTTCCTTTCCCAAAATAATCTTGACAGTAATGTGTACATTTGGCTTTTGTCGTGGCACAGGCATATATTCCTATGTACAGTGTAATCTATGTGTACAGCTGACTAAACATTAGAGTAGTTGCCTGAGAATTTCCCTCTACTCGAGTACAAACGCAGTCAGTTACTGCATGCTCAATAACAGAAAATGTTAGGCCTGCTGGATCTCTGACTTCTGTTTATATAGTATACTGTTACTTGCTCTTAGTCAGTCCCCTTCCTACCTCACTCTCACAATGCAGTCATCCACTGCAGTCTGGGATGGAGGTGTGCATATCATATCTACTTCTGCATCAAGTGCCAACATTTTTAGGTTACCTTAATTTGAGTCTCACACATCATAAGTCATTATTTATTAGTTGACATTTAATTCGTAGTCAAATTCTCTCATGAATGACATTTCTTCTACATGTATTTTACTGACCATGGCTCCATTCCGATACAATGCGTGCTCAACATTTGGCTTGAAATTTGCGGTTTTTTTTTTATTCTACCGTTGTTTTGGGGCTATATTTACTGTGTAATTAGATTATGTGTACCCATACAAATGTTTAAAACTGTGTTTTGAACCATATGACCATAATTATAATAAACTGTTCAGCTCTGTACATGCTAATTGCACTGGTATCAAGTGGGGTTGGCCTTGTACATTAGTAAGTACATTAACCTATGATATAAAGCATATACAAAGATATCTTCTCATATTCTCTGTGTGTAACTGACCTTAAATTTACTTTTTCTCAGTATGGCTGTAATGTATTAGTAATCAAGTCCATGCATTAAGGTTGATACAGCCTTAATAACAGTGACATGTTCCTCTTTGCATAACAATACATGTATCTTGCACACTGTCTGTTGCAGAAAGCTTACTCTGAGCAAACAATAGTGAAAATTCTGTATTGGCTATTTTGAGATAAGGGACCAATTTTCATAAATTTGAGTTTCTGGTGTGACTGCATATCAATTTCATACTGTCACCACTGGATTGGATGTTTTTATGAAACAGTGCCATTAATTCATGCTTTAATATGACTTTGATCATTAACATGTCTTCCAGTAACATCCCTCAGCAGCTGATTAAATAAATTCTCACTGTTAACGAAGATGAAATTTCATGAGAACCCATTCTGAACTACTTTAGTTCAGAATGCTACACCTTATTACTTCAGATTAAAATTATCGCAGTCCAAAACAGTTCCAAATCACAATCTATATCCTCATTGCCAATTTGTGTTCTATCCTACCACTGAAATACTAATGACACCTGTTCCACATTCTTTGATCCTGTTTGTTACTAGTACCACACTACTGTTTTGAACAATGGAACAGCACATGTGCACACACATCAGCCTGCGTTCTGTCCCGTCCAAAGCTTGTCACTAGCGTGCATGCTGTCTAGTGGTTCACATCTGAGATATCTTTGAATAGTAAACTACTGACTTCTGAAAGAAATGCCACGTAATTATTTAGCAAGTCTCTTCCCATCTTAAGTAAAACAGATATCAGATAAAGAGCTCCCAAATGTATTATTTGCAGACTCAAAGCCATGGGGGACAGAATATCAGGTCCATGCAATTACTGTGTTTTGGTGACCTATATGTATTTATGTAACATGACAGTATCACAAAGAAAAAGTGTGTTTGAGATGCAAAATAAGCTAAATTGTATGTTCCGGAATATTATAATCTCATATTCCATATTTATGGAAATGTTCATTTTTAAAATGTCAGAATGCTTTGGACTAGAGTGTTGTAAAGATCATGCTGTGTGGTGGTGAACATCTGCTATAATCAATATATCTACCGTGTGCAAGATAAAGTTGTCCCTGTGCTTAATTAAGTACCATGTAAACATACAGGGGAGTGGATATATATAGCTCCATACACTCACATCCTCAGTGCCAGATGGAGGTGAGTGGTCAATTTCACAGCCCACTTGCATTATCCCTGGGGAAAGAGCCAACAGGATTTTTGTCACTTTCCTCAGTTCCTCCAGGCAGATGCCAGGATAATACATCAAATCAGGCGACAATCAATTCCTTCCACCCCATTTCCAGTTCAGTAGTCACTGATAATGATACCGGAAGATATATAGCCTACGCAACTGATACTGTTATTAAATAAACGTATAAGAAGGACTCTTCCATGGAAGGTAGACATTTATGTACATGTAATTCCCCATAAACAAAGCAGTTCTTTGAATTCCCAATAGTACAAGCAATATGGATGCCAGGGATTTAGGCTCTGAATGTAGTTAAGTGAATTGGGTGGGCTGAGGATAATGTCCAGTAGCAAGCCTTTGTGGACAAGTTCCTTTACATGGAATTCCTGGCCACATGTGAAGGGATCAATGAAGACCCTGTACCACTGAGGAAGTTATATAGCTATTAATAATGTGTTCACATACAGGAAACAATTTTAATTACTCAGTTGATTATTCTAAGATATGTGGAATAGATGATATCTCATTTCACTGAGCAGGCTGGTATGGTGGCAGTGCTCTAGTATTCAAGAAGTAGTTGTTGGTTCCAATGAAGACCAGTTTTCTTGTCTGAGGATTTTTGTGGTTTTCCTCAGTCCTTCAACATGTATGCCAACAGTACCCTTATTTGGTCATGGTCACTTCCTTCCAAAATCTTTGGACTTCATTATTTTTAAAACTTTACACTGTGAAATACTGACAGCATCGTAAAATAAATCACACCCACAAAAACTGATATTCTCATCTCCTTGAAGTTCTTCAGTGCTTTGTACTCTGCAGATATGTCACTCAACTCAATCTAAGAAGTTGGTTTATAATGAAGGGAACTGCAGTGAAGTGACCAAACAGAGAGTCCAGAGGTAGTATTTTGTGTTGAACCTTCAATGTTTTATGAGACTCTACTGCAGTCTAATATAAGACAACTTACCTTTGAGGTTGATAGCAGATCACTTATGGAGACATGCGCTGCTGTTCCATGAAGGGTTGTGGCATTAGTGCTGATAACACTGGGCAATCTCTCTGGAGCAGTAAGTAACCTTGCTAATGTTGGTGAGAAGGTCGTTGGCCGTGCACTAATGCTGGTGTCTCCCCTGTGCTGTGTCGCATTATTAGACTTTGTGAGGATTCCATGTAGAAGTGACGATGAAGGGGACTGATGTGGTGGAGAGTGTGGTGCCAGCACAGGATGCAGAGTCACCTCAGGGTATGGTGGAGGTTTACTAGCAGTTGTAGTGGCTGGCAGTGGTTCGTGACGCTGTTCTGTTTGGCTTAACTTTGCAAATTGCACTAACACATCCTTAAAACTGATTCCCCCACTTGAACCCCCAGAATTTGCATTGCTTCCTGGCTCAGGAGTAGCATGAGAAGGGGCCCCACTCCGCGAGGAGTCAGCACTGGATGGACGAGAGGTATCCTGCCTAGCAGATGCTTCTCCCATGGCATTCAGGAGGAAACTGATGTCTCCCATTTCAGATGCAGAACCCACTAGGCCTGTCCGCATCTGGGAGCCTGAGCCTAGAGCCAAGGAAGCCATACTAAGAATGCCTCCTCCACCACTCACCCTAGTAGAAGATACAAGATTGTCTGTCAATTGTTGCGTGTTTGGTGTTGGGGACAGAGAACTCTTGAGCCTGCGGCCACGGCGAGGAACAGTTTCTGGATGTCTAGAACGATAATCTGCTATGATGGACCTAACATCTAGGATGGGCCCTTGCCGACCTTCGCCTATGACAGGGTTCTGTCCATTGTTACTGCCATTGGTGCCAATGTTTCCCGAAGGTACTATGACAGCAGTGGTAGGCTTTGGCAATATTGGACGGTGTATCCGTCCACCAGTTTTGTCTCTGTTGCCCAAGTCAGGAACTTTAATTGAAGAAACACTTGGAGCAGTGGACTGAGAGGGAACTGAAGATGTTGACAGAGATGCAGTGAGACCACCTGGGCCAGAGGATACAATTGGTACCATCATCAGTGGTAACTGGTTTTGGCTGCTCTTTAAAACAGACACACTACCTACTGGTGGAGGTTGCAAGCTGAACTGTGACACTGTGTTCTGTTCTTTGGAATTCATTTTAGCTGAAGATGCTTTCATACTGGCAGGATCCCCACTAGAAGGTATCCCACCAATACCAACACTGCATTCACCAAACCTTGTGTCAGATGAGAGGTCCCAGTCCAGGGTGTCACTGGGCTTGCTCACATTACCCATGGTGAGCAGAATCACTTGCCTTTTCCGCTGCAGACGTAGGTACATTTCCTCTTTCACTTTCTTGAGACGAATTATGTTGTTCCATTCATGCTCCTTGGCACGGGCAAGTGTATTCAGCGTATGAATTTCCTGCTGCAATTTCTCTGTGTATTTCTGGATTTCTTCAAGGCCAGTCCTCGAAGCACTGTCCACATACTCATTCACCATGCGTTCGCGTTCCTCGTACTCCCTGCTGGACAACTTGAGCTTCTTCACTATAGCTGGAGTATCACTGTCACTATCACTACTTATGTGTTTTCTCCTTGTGTTCTGACTCCTCTTTGATACTACACCTTGGCTTTCTGGGCTGCTGGTGGCACTGTTTTCATCCTCATCTTCAGGAGAAGGCGGCAGACTACATAGATCATCTTGTTGTGGCTTATTATGCTCTGAAATTTTCTTGGTGCTAGGAATCTCACTTCCTGTGGGTACCTTCTCTGCTTCAGGAACATCATCACCCTCATTTCCCTTCTCATCTTGGTCAGCCGTCTCGGCGTCTTTGATTTCAGACGTAGAGGATTTGTTCTCTGCATCTGAACCTGCAATAAACACAAAGTATCATAAAATTTACATCTTATTTCGACTTGTTGCTAATTCTCCTCATTGCCTATAAAGGCTTGTTACAACAGCAAACTCATAACACTACAATTATACTGGTACTGCCAACTATGTAAGATATATTTGCATGCACAGTATTTTGGGAGTTTGCCTTCAGGTGACCATCACTATGCTGACAGACACTTGTACTGTTATTATTTTAAAGTTCAGTGGTGACATTTGGGATCAAATCTCGCGAGTGACACCACATACCCCCACTCTTTCCTGTTGTGCCACCCACGTCACAATATGTTCAGATTTTCCATGTTCACCAAATAATTGTTCGTATTTATTTCTGTGTGCATGAACAAATGTGTTGGACAGACCTGTCGGACAAGAGTTTACTCACAAGTACAGACACAAGCCTAAAGAGTCTTCCTTAAACTCTAGTCATGAAATTCATTTTTTTAAGCTGCCAAAAAGTTTGTAATGTGTTCACAAATTCATGCCATTGGACCCAAACTTGAGCCAGTCAAATCCAGTCCACAATCCACAATAAACTTATGTGAGGTCGATGCAGCCTGATCCACTTTCTTCTAGAATTTGACACCGTGTAGCCTGGTAGAATTTTACCATCCCAGAACATGTAGTTTTCATAGTCACCACCATGAGAACCTCAAATCCAATATAATTAGGCCTTCTGCTTCCAAATTAATCATCAAAACTATTCACCACCACCATAATTCACGGGTACATAATGTTTAATAATAGTATTTTTAGTACCACATACATGCCAGAATGATTATGGTTTTACTACATTTTTACTTCATGTGTCTACAGTCATTTATCTAGACCGAACCACATTCATTTAATGGAAGCCAGCAGGAAGTCAGTTCCAAATTTGGTCAAGATTCTTAATGGAGCAAAAAGAACACGGTCTGTGGACTGTAAGTTTCATAGGAATATTATCCATGCAGCTTGTATCCGACCATACACAGGCTTAGTTAAGTTTAACAAGCCTGAATCGTAGAAATCTAAATGATAACATACGATGGCTTGGCTGTACCTTCTCCATCTTTGTGGATTTCCTCATCTTCTGCCACATGTTTTGACGGCCCCAACAGCTTCTGTTGGCTGTCATCCTTGTTCGTGGCTGCAGACACATCCTCCTCGTCACATGCACCCTTTTTCTCACTGTCCAGTGTTGGAACTGCGTTCTGGCATGGTGTGGGGGACCCATTCGTCTTTGGCAGGTTGTCCAGGATTGCAGATGGTTTGCTACCCTCTTCCTCCATGACATGCATTCTGTTGAGGCTGCAAAACACATACATGCAGCTGTTAAGTCGTTTGTAAGACTCTGACAAGAACAAGCTATATAAAATCTTTATAATGGTTCACAGGATTGCTGTTATTTTCAAATATATAAGGGATAGCTAGTAAATGGGTCACAAACTGAAGTAAATCGGCTCTAATGGATATAACAGCTTTTTGTGTGTATCGCTAGGTAGCACCCCAGTTCCAGCATCATGCCAGACTAACTAACAGATGAGCATGCGCATGTTTAGAAGGTGGATTCAGTGCTTGAGACGTATACTACTGAATATCAGCATCCTGTTGTGCATTTTTAATGGGCAGAAGGACTCAATGCAACAGATATTCATAAAGAAATGTTTCCTGTTTATGGTAGTAAGTGTTTGTCGCGTAAAGCGGTTCACAGCTGGGTCGAAAAATTCTCTCAAGGACGTTCAAAACTCGCAGATGATGCCCGACCATGTCGCCCTGTTGAGATTGCGACAGAAGCAACTGTGCAGCGGGTTGAAGAGCTAATTCGAGCTGACAGGAGGATAACGATAGGCAGTGCAGCAACTGCACTAGTGTGTTCCCATGGTTTAGTATACAGCATAAAGCCTGATTGTTTGATGTTTCGGAAAGTGTGCGCATGGTGGGTGCCCAACTGAAGGATCGAGGAAAAAATTAACTGAATGGGTCTTGCAACATGTCTTATGGTTTGAAGGGGAAGATACGCATAACAGGATTGTTGCTGGGGACGAATTGTGGGTGCATCACTACTCATATCAACCCGAATCAAAACATTCTTCAATGCAATGGAAACATCCCAGTTCACCTTCAACCAAAAAGTTTAAGGTTGCACTATTAGCTTGGAAGGTTATGCTTACCGTATTTGGGGATTCTGAGGGAGTACTGTTAGCCCCTTTTCAGAAGCATGATGAAAATGTGAATTCTGGTTCGTAACGTGAAGTTCTGCTGAAGCTTCAGGATGAAATTCGTAGAAGAATTCAAGGTCAACTGGCAAGAGGGGTACTGCTTCATCATGAGAATCCAAGAACTACAGTGGGAAATTCCTGCACATCCGTCTTACAGCCCGGACTTGGACCCTAGTGACATCCATCTGTTTGGTCCCCTAAAAAACCATTGTGGTAGCACGCGATACGCTGATGACGAGGTTGAAACGGAGGTGCGGACGTGAGACAACAGTCAAAAGACTTCTACGAGTATGCTGAGGGCTTCGACGAACTGATAAAGCGATGGGGCAAGTGTATCAGTGTGGGTGAGAAATAAATGTTTTTCCCGGGTTTGAATATCACATGTTTTACGTTTTATATCCATTTGTGACCTATTTATTGACTCTCCCTCGTATCGTCACGTGTTAGTGACTGACAAGGGGTCTGTATTAATAACTGTATCTATTGAACGATTATAACTTTGTAACTACAAATGATTATGACACACTCACTACTGTACACTATAAAGTCACTACAGCACGCACTCTAGCTTCTCACTCTGTTAGGTTTCACTAGTCGTTCTGACAATGGGGATTTCTCTCGTTTCGTGCTCACGTCCTTGCTGGCTGCTGACTGACTCACAATTAAGTAGGTAGATCGGGTGAATTAGTGCTGGTCCTCGCCAGCACATTCAAACTTGGTTGCCTAGTGACGGCCCGGGTATTGCTGACGCGGGAGCGTGTTTTGGTTGATGTGGAAACGTTTTTACCGGCTGTTGCTTAGCAGTGGACGATTTTTCTTGGCCCCCTATTCCTGCATTCAGGTGTCATGTCACATATACACTGTATGTTAAGTATGCGACAGACATGAGGCTTGCATTATACGCGGATGATGCCACCACTGGGCACGATCAGGTGACAGTCATCAACTTCTCATCCCACTTCTCTGAAATTCATCTTGCTATTGTTCTTCCATTTCTTTCTCGGTCTTCTTAGTGGTGGTTTTCCCGGTAGATTCCCCACCAAAGCTACATTCCAAGTCCACAGAAACAGTTATTTCGGCACCCTAGGTAACCTGTATAAATTACATAATTCATCTTTATGTAGTGCTCTGAATTTCTCAATAATTCTTGCCCTCGTAGGTCCAGTTATTTTCTGAAATTGTAACCCCACGCACTGGAGATTAATTCTACAAAGAGTTCATTCTTCTGGGATATAACGCCGTGTAGTCCGTTGAAAGTCGACCACCGTTTCAGAAGAATATGCCAAGCAAGAGACCGGCGTGGAGGAGAGACCATGTCTGCTACGTCGGATGACTTTCAACGGAATACACGGCGTTATTATCCCAGAAGATATAACTCTTCATACCCACCGCGGTGAGAACCTCAAAACCTAACAATTTTTTTCGAGTATGTAATGTGGTGACATGAGGTTGAAGAAAACTGCATAATGAGGAGCTTCATAACTTGTACTCTTCTCCAAGTATAATTAGAATGATCAAATCAAGGAGGATGAGTTGGGCAGGACATGTAGCACGAATGGGGGAGACGAGGAATGCGTATAGGATATTGGTGGGAAAGCCAGAAGGAAAGAGACCACAGGGAAGATCAAAGCGTAGGTGGGTGGACAATATTAGACTGGATCTCACAGAGATAGGATGGGATGGTATGGATTGGATAGATCTGGCTCAGGATAGGGACCAGTGGAGGGCTGTTGTGAACACGTTAATGAAACTTCGGGTGCCATTAAATGCTGGAAAATTCTTGAGTAGCTGCAGAATTGGCGGCTCCTCCAGAAGGGCTCAGCTCCATGAGTAAGTAAGTAAGTAAATGTAAAATGTGGTGTCGTACTTTAAGGGAAGAACTTAATTACAGTTTCATTTAACGTGACTGACCGCCTCTGTGGTCTAGTGGTCAGACTTCCTGGCTGCAGATTCGAGGTCAGGGTTCGATTCCCGGCGTTACCAGATTTTCTGAGAAGTAGTGGGTCTGAAACGGGGTCCAGTCAGCCTCGTGAGGAGCTACTTCAAGGAAATAGAGGCTCCGGTCTAGAAACCCGAAATTAACGACCGTGGGGAACCGTTGCGCTGACCACGCAACACTCCCTATCCGCTAAAGTTGGCACTAACTTCGCAAACAAGCGGCGGTAGTTCGGTCGGTATAGTTCGCTTGTGGACTAAAACCACGGAGTTTGGTTTGTAGCAACGTTGCTCTCGTGCCCCTGATATTATTAATCGCCTCATTCAGTCCAGGATGACGGTATCGACGGCCTTCCCGGGTGGACTGCAATCCTCATGCACTGACATCAGCTTCTATTTGTACACGTTAATCCATATTTAAAGGCTTATTTTTACCTGACATGAGAAGCCATACGAGTTGCACATAACAAATTTTTGCATTCAGCGTGGACGTAAACATTCGTTCTGCGACAACTCATGAGTTTCCCGACGCTTGGGAATGAACATGTAGATAGGGAAGGACTTAAAAAGGGCTGTGCCGCGTATCAGGGTTTCCCATTGTCCCACAACACCTGTCTAGTGGCAAGTTACTGGTCAAGGACCGGACGACTGGGGTTCGATTCGCTGCAGAATGAATTCTTCACATAAACACGAAGTCTATATCACCTCTGCGACTCCTAGAGCTTCTTAGGGCGAGGGCACACCAAGGAAACTGGCAACCGCAACGCAACCGTAATTTCCGAGAATTGTTATCTGAGTTGAACACATGTTACTGGACGGAGAAGCGCAAATTGAGGAAACGGCAAGGCAGTTTCCTCAGTTTGCGCTGATCCTTCCAGTAACATGTGTTCAACTCAGATAACAATTCTCGGAAATTACGGTCGCGTTGCGATTGCCAGTTTCCTTGGTGTGCCCTCGCCCTAATTCAAATACTTCTCCGGGACTGTCACGATGACCACTCCCAATCTGTTCCGACATGAAAAATACATGGATATCTATTTCCATGTTCCCTTTATGCCCTCATGCACAGGGAATATTTTTTACTTTAATCTGTAAGGGAGACGGACCAAACGGGAACGGAGAAACGCACACGGCGAGGCCTTGGCATGATGTAATGTCGTTACGATGGTTGGTTCATGCAAGTTCATATGAGGGGCATGTAGCACTGACGTGACCGCCTCTGTGGTCTAGTGGTCAGAGGTCCCGGGTTTGATTCCCGGCGCTACCTGATTTTCTAATAGTAGTGGGTCTGGAACAGGGTCCACTCAGCCTCGTGAGGATAACTGATGAGCTATTTCAAGGAAATAGCGGCTCCGGTCTATAAAACTGAGATTAACGGCCGTGGGAATCCGTTGCGCTGACCACGCGACACCCTCTATCCGCTAAAGTTGGCAGTAACTTCGCCGACAAGCGGCGGTCGCTCGGTCGGTATAGTTCGCTTGTGGACTACAGGCTACGGAATAGCACTGATGTAAGTAATGTGGGGGAATGTTGGTTAGAAAATATGAGTAATTTGGTAGTTTCACAGTATGCGAACTGGTTTTATATAGGACCCAGAGGTGGTTTTTGGTGATATGACGGCAGTGAACCTTCGGGTTCCGTAACAACTGAATATTCTTCAGAACACTTCTCAGAAAACTCCGTACCTCTTCTTATTGCTGTCTATGATGATGACAGACTGATAGAAACAGGCCATCGGGAACGGACACAGACAAGAGTTTGGTGTCTTTCAAGTGGTGTGACACCACTTAGTGGACCAGCAAATCCAAAAATATCGCTTCAGACTCCGCCATACTACGAATAGTCAGAATAAATGCCATGAAAATTGTTTTACCTTGAGATCCGCTGACAAGCCTATTGGATCAAGGACAGACCCCATTCCACATTAAGGTTTTCCAGTTTTTCATCTCACGAAACGAACGCGTAATTACATAAAAAAAGTGCTTATACAACTTCTGTTGGTTTAGTCCTTTGAGGATAACACTTTTCGGAATTACGTTAGCGATCTAAGTGGGTGTTTGTTCGTTTATCAGCCCCTGATTATACACAGGCGAATACGACTGAAAGCTCAGTAACCGGTGTTTGCCAAACTAGGTACCGACATCACGATATTGG